TTGTTCGTACATGGCCTCACCCAGCTGCCCCTGCGCAAAGTCAGAGATGCCCAGAGTCGCCGAATCTCCTGACCAACCGGGAGAAACAGGCCCTGCTGCTGGGCATGCCCTTTGAGATCGCTGAGATCGCTGGAGGCCAGTCTTGCGATTTCACTTCGCTTCTAATCATTTTGACAATTTGAGTGCTTCTAAGCATTCTCTTTCCTGCATTTCCTGCATTTCATTTCCCTCTCTCTCTACCTTCTAGCTATTCTAGCTCAAGATGTTGGCTCAAGATGTTTGACTGAAAAGGTGCAACGTGTTTCCGTTGGGAACGCTTTCAGACCATCTGAATGCATGAAGTACTGTGACCACACGCCAGGGCAAACCCTGGTGTCCACCCCCTCGCCTTCGGCCTTGAACCTGCAGGGTTCAGCTCGCAGTGAGCAGCATTGCCAACAAACAGCTTAACAACTTTGGCTCCAAGTACTGCATGTTTCAAAATTGAAGAATAGCTTTTGCAGGCTTTTGCAAAGTGCAGTTTGATTTTTTTTCTAGACCTGCCAGTCTCAAGCTTGAGACCATCCAGCAGAAACATGAATAAGTATGAACAAATCCATCAGATCACGGACGAGCTGACACGGAGCGCCACTGACAGAAACTGAGCGGTGAGCCACTCGTGTGTTGGGGCGAACCTGCGCAGGAATCTTCATGGGTCAATATTCATTCAATCATGATACCGTCATTCCATTTCGATAACAACTACTGCAGTGTCTCCACTTCCAACAGAAAGACTAAGAGTCATTGACCTACAAACCCAGCTCTGTTCTCCCAGTGATCCAGATTCCGATTGCCTCAGGTCTGAGAAGCATCGGAAGGCCGGGGCAAAGCTTCGCACAGGGAAGGCCTGGCTGAGATCGGTTTTGCTGTCCCAGAACCCCCTGGAACCATAGCACTTGCCTTCGCACCAGCAAATCGCAAGCTGCCTGGATGCAATGTGATGTGGGCCAATTTAGGATTGCTGGGTTCAACCATTTCGGCTAAGTCCTGACCCATCCTGAGCCGTCCTGACCCCGATTCATTGAACCGATTGAACCATTCTGCCCTTTTGAAGGTCCCCATGGGAGCGGTTTCGCCAAGCTCAGTAAGCTCCTCTCCATCTCTCTGGGATGCCCGACCAAGAGTTGCGCGCAGGGCTGCCCTTGGCACGCACGACTTCCCGCTCTCATTGAGATGGAGAATGCAGCATCAAGACATGATTTCTCCCTTGATCCCACAACCGAAAATTGTAAATGATATCAAAATGAAATCAAATGATGAAGTCCAATGATTGATATCCAATAGGTCCAGATCGTGAAGCCTGACGTACATGTGGGCATATGCCCCAGATTTGAATTAGAGATCTGAGGGCCCTGCATTGCGTGCGCAAAATTCAAAGCCTTTCAGGAGCGCACTATTCATTACTTGGACTGATTGAAAGACAGGAGCAATGGCATGTAATGGCACTTGGGGGTTTGTATTTGAATGCAAACACTTGTTGGGAAGGAGGTCGCAATGAGAGTTTGGCTCCTCCAAAAGAAGTTTGAGTCAGCAGCCGTGAAAATGAACTGACGGACTGCGCCCTCCAATCAACTACAGTTACACATGTTTCCTTGGGAGATTAGCCAGAGGAGTTTCTAAGGCTCATGAATGCCCAGTTGTTCAGCAACGATTCAGCAAAGAATGGCTCTAACTCAAAGAGGCCCGGGGAAAACATGGAGAAACTTACTGTGGTAAATCGCACTCTTGCTATGTTGGAAGATGTTGGAAGATCACCTGGCAGGAAATTCGTTGCCTCTGCGGATCGTTCTTGACGCTGTGCTGCTACTGTTCGAGGCGAAATTGTCGGGTGATCGTCGCAGCAAGTTTGAAGATCTCCGCAAAGCGTGGCTTGAAGGGGCACCCCGAAACCAAAATTCAAAAGGACTCTTTACATCTCTTTACATCTCTTTACATCTCTTTACATCTCTTTACATCTCTCTACATCTCTCTACATCTCTTTACATCTCTTTACATCTCTTTACATCTCTTTACCACTTGCCTCGATTCTTTATCACGTGCAAACAGTTGCCAAGACATTCTGACTAAAAGGAGACTTTCAGTTTAGGATCTGACTACAATTGCACTGAAATCCCTGTGACAGAAAGCAAACGGCGAAGTTTCTTATTGGTTTCAGACTTCAGACTGCATCCTGTGCAATAGGCAGAATGTACAGCCCGTCACGAAGGACTCATTTGATACCAAATGCATGAGTCAATGATATGTTGGTCTATTCTCATGCCAGGGGAGCACAATGCGTTGTCATGAGTTAGTTGCACCCCAAAGGGCCAGCCCTTTAGAGATTTGGCCATATTTTTCTGCCCAGCTTTCTGCTCAGAGTCCAAGTGACACTGAACAGCCAGTGTCCTGATCAAAATCAAGATATCTAAACCATAGCCTAATCATAAGCATCCAAATATGACCCGCTGGTCGTTTCCTTTCAGACAGTCTTTCTAGGTATGTTGGATTTTCTGCTTCAAACATATCCCATCTATCAATCTGCCTAGCTGCTGACACTAACATGGTCAATGTGCAAAACTCTGCTATACTGCCTCTTTCAGAGGCCGCATAGACAGTGCTTTGCAAGTTCAAGAAGTTGACACGGCCAAGAATGCAAAGAGCTCCTGCTGTTGCAATTGACATCCATTACTTTGTTTAATTGCAAGTGATTTGAAGCTTTCAAATGTGCCAGTCACCAGTCCAGACTAGGCAGGAGGCACGTGTGCTGAGTTCCAGCACATGTCCAGCATGAATTGCGATCAGACCAGGTTTTGTGTCAAAGATGCCCTTGCCGTCTTCGTTACAACCACCTCATCCTGGCACGTGCAAGTCCCAAGCTGCTCCTTCAACTTCGAAACGGACAACATTTCCAGGCACCAAAATTGAAGGGTTCCGACTGAAAACCTGGCACCAAGCCTATCATCTTCACCTTCAATTTTTGAGCTTGAATTGCTTGAATCACAAAATTGAGGGCCCATTCAATAGGTTTCCCATGGGAAACCCCATGCCAGTTCCACAAATTTGAAGTTGTGGACGGTCAAACAGCCGGCAGGACCAGAAGCTGGCCATGCTTGGAATCGATCAGTTCAAAATGCAACGCCGATGTTTTCACATTCAAACGTCCCACGGAATAGACATCGGTTGCGTACCTTGGCCCCAAAGGGACGAGAGAAGGGACAATGGCAGAGCTGTTGCTATTTCGGAATATTTCGGATTCAAAGATGGAAACATGGATGTCCACACAGGTTCCTGAAGTCTAGCAGTGCATGTCTTCTGACTGCGTGGATGTCTGGCAAACGTTGAGTTTGACACAATTGTTTTGTACACTCCAATAGGAGCACGCTGGTCCAGCTACAGGCACAAACCAAGTGTAATTAACATCCTTCCCGCAAGTTCTCTGATCCATCGACCTTGAGTCGAGTTGCACTGGGTTGAGTTGCGAGGTCTTCGCTGGGTCTTCATCTGGAGTCTGCTCGCTGCGGACACAAGTTCCCTCACCTGCGAGCAGGAACACAAATGCTGCGTCGCCTATGTCATATGTCCATGTTCAGGTCTGGCATTGAAAATGATGGCATCATTGGGCATCTCAGTTTTAGCCATGCCATGATTTGTACTTCGTCATACCCAGCCATTACCTTGCAAAACCACAGCAAGAGATTGAGTGCCACAATTTGCCTGCAGGGCATTGTGGTGCAACCTTAAAGGCCATTTCCTCAGTTATCAAAAGCCATTCATGATATTCATGCAGAGGTGCAAGCCACAGGCTTTTTTCTAGACCACAAATATCCACAAATATGGGGATGGGTCAAAACCCTGGTACCTAGTGAACCCCAAAATAGCTGGTAAATGGATGTTCATCCCACTAAAAATGTATCTATAGGTATTGACCCATACCCATATAATGCTCACCGTTCGGCGGATTCTGGTCACCTGCTACTGGTTGACATCTGGTTGAATCCGTGGGGATCGTCCAGACGGGTGAAACAGGAAATCCAAGCTGCATCGCAACCTGCACCACCGGCCACGACTTGGATGTAGCCCTTGGGGTCCTGACCGTGGACCGTGCTTAAATCGAGCTGATACCATTGATCATCTTTCACTAATCTTTCACCATCGACCATCTTCCGGAGTTTCTTTGTAGAAACTGCTGCAAGCACCAGCAACTCTGCAGGTCTAGCTGGAGCACATTCACAGAAAGGATTCTCATAGAGATTAAGCAGAAAGTAATATAAGTAAACAATAAGCCACAATAAGCCACAAAACCCAAGCCACGGCAACCCTCTTCTATCCATCGTCCATAACTTTGCCCAATGATCCGCCAGTGGATTCAGCAGGGCCTTGTAGAATTTTGCGGATGCATTGACATCGGCTGATGGAGGATCACGCCAATACCTGCGGGCTGGAAACATTCCGGAAGTGACCTGGAAGTGACCCTGTGAATGTGAAATGCACCAGCTGCGATATTACCATATACCATCATAAGACCGACAAAACATGGGATGCGAAATGATGCAAGTCAAACCGACGGGTGTCTGTACCAACCCCTTTGGCAGGTCAGGGGTCAGCAAGAAGAGGCGAAGAGGCTTTGCGAGGCTTTGCGTCGACCACTTTTCTCAGATTCCGATCATTGAACAAGAGGCTGAACTAATGATCATTGATCGTTGAGTAGACATTTTGAGAACAAATGGCAGTGGATGAATGTTGGATCGCAGAAAAATCTCCACAAAATCCAGCGCAACTGATAAAAAGGTGCTTGTGAGCATGGCCAGCAAAGTAGAGGTCAACCTTGTACTTCCTGAGCTTGAGTTGAGGTGTATTGATGTGTATTGGGATTTGACTTCTCATGCTGCTGAGATGAAAACTACGTCTGGAGATGTCTGGAGTACATTAGTACATAGCGAGTGTGAAGGCTATGCAAATAAGAGATAATAAGAGGTTCAGTCAGTTGATAACATTGAAATCGCCATCTGCATTGCACCTGCACATCCTGTACTTTCTTGATTTCATGTAGCGTTTCATGACAGCTTCGCCACCAAGCAGCTCGAGCAACTCAATCATCCCCGAGTGACTAAGCCGCATCTCAGTGGGGGCTGTTTTTCATGTGACGGAGTTTCTGTCAAGTGCACAATTGACAAACCTGAATCCAAATATAGGGCCAGGACACTCGAAATCCTGATCTTGAAGCTTCTTGAATGAACTTACTGACTTGACAGCCATGGCAATAACAAGCAGTAGCTTATAGTGGCCGCCAAATTCTACTTTGATCATCACAACCAAGAAACCAGGGGACGATGTCCTCCAGCAATGATCCACTTCTTTCCAGCATCCCTGGCAGCCTTCAAATCAGCCTCTAGCCATCGGAGATATTCTCCTCGCCACAGCGATGCTACAGCAGGTCACAGGGCGGTTTATGGGTCCGGCCTTCAGCACCAAAGCCGCCTGCCTTCAGCCAAGAAAAGTGACCATCACCTGGAAAAGCGACATGGAGCAACCATGTCACACACATTTCGGAAAGAAAGAAGAAACCGTGAATGATCCCATGCCTCGGATTGTTTACGTTCTACTCTAGTGTGACATGCTTAGGAGATCTTGTGCCACAAGAGAAAAGAGAATGGGCAGCAAAGCATGGAATCACCTCCACCTCTTCTGGACGCATCTAGCCTTGCCGAACACCCCCGGCACCTGTTTTGGCTTCCTCTGCCCCAGGAAAGTCCGTCTCGGTGTTCAAAGATACAAAGTGAACCGGGCCAACCTTGCCAATGACAGCACTGCCGTCCCAAACTGCACAGACCAGATCCTCATGATCTTGGGCTACACTGTCTACACTGCACAAAGGCTATGGTCATGATCTCATCATGCTTTCGGCTGGGTGGCGTTGAAGCTGTACCACATGTTGGCGCGCCCAGCACAGCTGCTGGAAGGCATATGCCAACGATGGTTGAACCTCGAAAGTGCCGGGAATCGAAACTCTAGGTTGACCCCACATCATCCTCTAGGCTAGATCTAGTTGTATCCCAAAATTCTGGCAATTATCACTACAACAGTCCAGGCTTAATGACAGTCAGCCAATTGGTTTTGTCCAAGACTGGTGGATTTTCTCCGAATCTATGGGCATTTGAATAATGAACATGATCTTCTCCACCATCAAAGTTGCTTCGTTTCTCCCATCACTTTTCACATTTAGTGGATTTTCCCCATAATTCTCCCATGTTTTTCTGCCAAACCCAAGTGGTTTCTTGTTGAAATTCACTGCAGGGCACGCGGTGAAGTTCATCAGAGCACGACCCAGGAATGGATCCACCACCTGGGGGAAGCCCATCGAAACAACATCGTCCACACCACAGAAATCAATTGTGATAGAACACCATCAAGTTAAATAAAAATATGATGGTCATTTTTTGTGGTGTAGAATATCTATGATCATCATCTATATTCGATTGTCATTGTCACGGTACATAGAATATACATGTTCTTTATCAATAACATGTTCGTTATAATATAGATATATTATCTGTTTATATATATATATATATGTATGTGTACAAACATGTGACTGTTTCTATGTGCCATAGTCAAAACATGGTATATCTGCTACGGTCATCCATCCCATAATTGGAATCCTTACAATTGGTTTATAAATCCCTATCAATGGATTGACGATCATCCCCGAATAGAGGGAATAAAACTTGTTTTGACTATGGCACATATAATAAATGACTGTATATGATACACGATATATTATCATGTTTTATCATATCTATATATATACATACATATGATTATGTGTCATCTCTGATATCTGTATTTCTGATTATGTAGACAGATGTGCATGTACACTGTGTATAATATTAATGATTATCTATAATATATTCATGTGTATTCAATCATGTTCATACATTATGTTGCTCCTTTGCATTATTGGGAACTCAAATGATCCATGAGTCACGCACTTTTTGCACTTCACGTTGTCCGTGAGACGAGGCTATTTCACCAACGCTCAGTCAGTGAGATATAGCTGCAACGTCAATCTGGTGGGGAGCATGGGATCTGTCACGATCAAGTCTTCGCCTTCCGTGAAGACAGGTGGATCAGCCTGTGTCAATTCCTTCAGGCTCATCTGGAGCTTGTACCTCGACTCACTGCGAAACCACTTTCAATCGGGGTGAAGTGCTCTAAACTTCTACAAATGCGACAGGTTCATTGAGACTCTTGGCCTTTTGAAACATCCTTGCCCATCATCCAGGGTATGGAACTTGACATCATGCAGCTTATTACACCAAAAGTGCTCACAATTTTCAGCAAAGATAGTACTCTGCAAGGATTCATGTCCATCATTGTCACTCTCCTTGAATCCCACACTAGCACCCACGTGTCGCCATGAAGCTCGTGTTGTTCGCGAATCGCCTTTGGATTCTGCATAAAGACAATGCCACTAGTGCTTGACACCGAAGGTCTTGACAGCTGGTAGCTGGGATGAGCACCTCATCGGAAACCAGGTGTGGAAGAACGCTATGTATATGTCTATATACATTATTCATCATGATATCACATTGTATCTTTTATGCTATGTATTGCTATATACATATATATAATGTATATATTTATACAATTATATTATATATATATGTGTATATGAGATATGATATATTTGGGCAGGACTGCCTCTTCATCAACGGTTCAAGTTTATCCAAAGTCCCGATCCTACCGAGACGTGCAAACGTGTTTCACACATGGACTTGCAGCGCCAAATTCGACTGAAGGACGACAAGGATCAATGGGGCCACTTGCTAAGGTAATTCAAAGATGTTCAAAGCGCTGGTAAGAGATAACTTGTTGCAAGAGAATCAAGATTGTTCACGATGTTCGTCTCTCCAAGAGAAAGGTACAGAGTACAGAAATGTGTGTGTGTATGTGTATATATATATATGTATATGTATGTGACGTGTCACAATATCGGAACAATAGAGCGAAACCACAAGCTTCTCACGGTCTTGCTACTATGAGCTGCTCTTGTTGACATCAAGGTCTTTTTTTTTAAGGCATGCCATGGCATGTCCATCTTCTAACCCTTTGCTTCACAAAGATCTGCCACAGACTAGGCACCGAGATGTTCCAAGAGCTCTTGGAGTGTTGAGTTCCTGGAGGCGCTGTCTGTCAGTCGATGACTGGAAACATGCACAGATGACCCAGAAATTCACACCCTCAATTGTGAAGCAAAAACTCTCAAAAACCTCTACCATCCTGGATCATGTAAAAGATTAAGCAGTACAAATATGTACAAACTAGGTAGATAATGGAATTGGTGATCTTCCCTTTGCCTCTTCCCGAAGTTCAAGCTTAAAACTTCGCAATTGAACTGCAAGGCTCTTGGGACGATTCAGCGTCAGCTTCGCTCCACCACAGACCATGCAGTCATCCTTCTTTTGATATGGGAAGGTATGTGTGTACACACCTGCCGCAGTGCGCAGAGTCCAAACATACCAAGTTTGCTATGAGACTCTGGACTCTATGCTATACTCCAAGACACTCCAAGTGTAGCCATCTATGGACCTACTTCATGCTTCATCCAGGGACAAAGTCTTTCAATGGCATCTCCATCCCCATCTATACAGTAAGAAGATCGCTTCAAAAGACCAGAGTGCGTGCCTTGTTGACCCATGTACATCATGTAGTTGTTCAGCACTGGCCCACAGTATGTCGCAATTTTCAAGGCTTCTACCACCAGTGCTGCCGCAATCAGTGCATTTGTGGAGGCAATGGCCGGAATGATGCGTTTCACCTTAATCGGATGGATCGAGTGGCTGGGCGATGCAAGTCATAACATGACGATTGTCTGAACAATTGATGCTGTGCGTAGCTGCCTGGATTCTACAGCTATTGAAGTCGAGCTGCCACACCCATGGTCAGTTGATAGGTCACGCCCGGAATGCCGAAGGTGGCTGCACGATCCTGTTCCATATACATCAGCTGTGCTGCTATGTTGTTAATGCCGAAAATATCCTAAAATACCGAAATACTGGTCAGGTATTAGAAAGAAAAAAATTGCTTTACATATCTTAGCATAGTAGCAAAAGACTTCAAAACGACCCCAAACTTGGACATGTCGAAAGCTGTGGAAATCCTCGGCTTGCCCCGGCACCTTCGCTTGTTCGAAGACCCACTGCATGTCGGCAGGCGAATCCTCACATTGCAGGGTGGAAAATCGCACAGAGGTCACACCTCTGCTAATCGCACTGCATGCCATGTTTCATCAAGATCTTGAGGTTGGGGGTTCAATTGCACAAACACAGCTGCACGGTCCCTGTTCAACTTCTGCCCAGGGAATCTTTGCTCCCATAGAACCACCACGGCATACTCCACGCAATGCTCCGGCAAACGCGGAGTCTCTGCAATGGTACACAAAGGATAGTTTACCTGCAAGCGGCTGGAAATTTTCAAACAAATGCAAGTCCTACAAGTCACACACCCTACTGTAAATGTTGCCAATCCAAGTTCGGAAATCTATCTCTCCTTGTCGCATACAACAAATCATCAAAGGGTTATCCAACAAAATCGGAAGCATGTCATGGCGAGTCTGATTGTCAAAGACTGCGTTCAGCCGTTCTCATGTCACTCCATGTATTCGTCTGATGGGCTGATTCGCACCATTCTGTTGTATTCTGTTGCTGCTGATGTCCACAGAATCAATAACTGCATCTGGATATGATCAAGTAACAACTGCGCCGCAGACTGTGCCCCTAAAAAGTGCAAGGATGGAGACTAGAACTGGTTGAAACTCTCCCATTACAAGATGTCATTCCAGTCTTCACGCGAAATGATGGAAAAAGCCCTCCGAAGTCGAATTGAATCTCCAAGAGCTGTGCATCTGATTCTGTCATATTCCATCTGGGCCTGTGGTGGGAAAGCATCCAGTGAACAATCGAAGCACGAGGTCATCGTTGGAATGATCACTCGAGCCTGACCCTTGAAGCCCTCCGTGCCACCATCAATCAGTGGGATGATGGTACCTAAACGTCGATTCCGCACTGGCGATGGAATCCGCAACGCTATGTCACATGCGATGCCGCCACTCACACCACCCAGCACGGCTTAATTGTGTCAAGGAGCTCGGGTCAGGCTCTCCTGAAGTTCTATCGACCATGTCATGAAGCGTGGCATTCATCCATCGTCTCGCCGCGATGTTGTCAAGCCCCGCAATGATAAGGAAGAACTTCCTGTCAATTTGTGCGCATCTAGGCCCATTTTAGGCGCATCTTAGGCGCATGTTCATGCTGGCACCTTAATGGCTTAATGCTTAATGCTTCAATTTGAATGGAGGTCAGAGTTGAATGCAAAAAAATACCAGGTCGCTCTTCTGTGTATGTGCTCAGGTTTGGCGTCCTGTAGAAGCTCTCGTCAAAGTCCTGAATCTTCCCAACCTGGTTCAGACTTGCACGTCCAACGATATTTGTCTGTTTTGAATTGTTTTGATGGCTTTGATCATGGGGCAAACCCACCACTGGCGAGGCAAAAGTCCATACAAAATGAATCAAAATGAACTGACCTCGGTGCAAACAAATCAGAATATTCAGAATAGTGTAAGCGACCAGCAAAGGTAGGTCCAAGGTCTAGAAATCCAAGCAGCGTGTGCCGTGACCTTCGCCCCTAAATGACCCAAACGTTTGTTGATGAAGGCAGCAGCAACCTCCGCTTTGGTCTTGCCAACATCTGCTTGGCGGAAGAGGAACTGCCGATTCAGATTCGTGACATCAATCGTGTCCATGTCAATGACGTGAATATCCTGCCAGCGAGAAATCCAGTCCTAGATATTGGTTTCTGGGCAGCTTCTCTTGTCATTCGTTTCAAACTACACAGGTGCATCCAAGGATCCATGAAACCAGACAAGGCCAAATCTTTCAGAATTTCGCAGCCCAAGCCACCAGCACCAATGACTAGGACCTTGTTGTCGCGCAAAAAGGCGATGGTCTCAGGCCCAGGATCAAAGGCATCTGCGTCAGCGAAGGGACTTTTCCGCATCAGCACCCGACAGACGTGGCCGTGCTTCTGGCTGCCCAGCGACATGGCCGTGGCGCTGGCCGTGCTGGCCGTGCTGGCCGTGCTGGCCGTGCTGGCACGCTGGCCGTAGCCCCCTCTGATGACTTGAACTTTTGACTCCCTGTGATTTGAACGTTTTGAGCCGCAGAGCGGAACAAGAGGCAAGGTCGGGCAACGTCGGGCAACGTTACACGTGAGAAGCATGTTCAATCAGCTTGCCTTTCAGGGGGATCTCATTGCACGGGCAAGCCCGACAAGCTTGGCCTGTAGGATCATGGATTATGTAAAACAAAAACCTACATGAAATATGTTTGCCCCAGTTGATCCAACTCTAACATGTTGAAAAACATGGAAAAAAGTGACCCGCCTACGACACCAAATTATCACATAGTCTTTTATAGCAGCAACCGAACATTCTGCCAACCGAACACAGTCAGAGCCTCCTTCCGCTCCAGTTTAGACAAGGAGCGCATGCTGGACTGTGGCACTCAGACTCATGATTTCCTTGGCATGGCCCGAGATGCATGTACTGCAGGTATGGTGATGCAAAATACGGTGGCCATTGCGCTTTGGGAGGCTTTGGAATGCCATATGTAACATATGTACCAGTAAGGTCTGGCCATAAGGTCTGGCCACAACCTACCCACCAGGGTCTTGATATGCTCCAAATACTGTGGCTTCTCTGTGTGGTTTGGACTTTTTAAGTATAATTTAGAGATATGTAGAGCCACAATGGCATCCAAATGCAGGAGGTGCACCTGGCGAGACCATGTAGGGCATGGTTGCAGTCAGATTTTGAAGCCAGTTCAAATATCCGTTGTAGGCAGTCTCATATGTAAACCTGGCAGAGCGGTCTCTACGGTTTAAAAGACATGTCTGCCCTTGCTCATCAACCGGAATACGGTGAAGTGGCCATTGTGCTTAGAACATTTTAGAACTTATAAATACTTAGAGCTTATAATATATGCTTATAACACCATAATAGTAATATCGTAATCATGATGATAATGAAATCCAGTATATCCAGTAATATCCAATAATGAACTATAGATGCCATATGACTCAAATGGCCAAATCAATAGATTCATTGCCGCACTACCACCAGCCCAAGTTCCATACAGCCTCAGAGGAGAATGCGCATAAGAATCATCCATGTATCCGATGTCACCCACATGCCAAATGAAATCCTCAATGCAGGAAACATCCACAGCATTTCGCCCTCAAACATCCGGCTGAGCGTTTCTGCCTCTCCATCTCATCACATCTCTACACTGGATAATATCAACATCAACTCATATCAACTCCTTGACTCCCTAGATTTCGAGGTTCGACATTCCCCGGACACTCGAAATTGTCATTCTGTTGGGTGTTGTTACCTGGAGGTGAGCAGGAATGTACTCATCAGATCTCATCAGGCTAATCGGGAGAAGAAACTTCATCAAACCATGATCATCTACCAAATCGCAACATTGCAATACTTGGTTTCTCCGCTACTGATGTCCGTTGCATTGATTTGGAAAAGGTGAGTTGTGGATAGTTCCAACAGAAACATCTGCAAATGTCAAACTTCCCAGGCCTCCTATTCCAAGCATTCCAAGCATTCCAAGCTTCAATGGATTTTTCATCCTTCCACTTCTCCAAGGTGGCACGACTCTCCTTGGCGGACCACTTCCTGCGGCCATCATTCGATCCCTTCACTTTTTGTCGCAAAACCAAGGCTGACAGCCAAATTCCAGCATTTATCAACCTATTCAACAGGACTACTGAGACTATTGATAAGTGATATACTACGTGTTTTTCAATGCAGTCATGATAAGGAATATTGCTTCAACATGCTTCAACATTGTGATCCTTCATCTGGCCACCCTTGGCTCCCCCTGTCAGTCTTCTCCAGACCATGCGCAGTGATAATCATGGGTCGCTCCACGCTGCTTTCCCAACCTGAAGTCGTTGCAACAGCAGTTCCAACAGCAGTTTCAACAGCAGTTCCAACGACAGTTCCAGTGCCAAAACATGATCAAAATAGCGTAACATGTAGAAACATACTAAAATGCTGGAAGGCACCCATGTCACCAAAAACCGCCATGGAGAAGCTTGCATCTGCAGATTGCGAGGCGGACACAAAACTCCACACCTTCGGCGATGTCATCAATTGGCATCAGTCTTTGTGGGTCGATTGAAGATCAGCTACGCTTTGTGTGGGTCAAAGGTGCGGAATCTACTGCCCATGCATGAGCCAAGCAGCCGAACCATTCTTTCAAAATTCCTGCAAATGAGTCTTTCCGCCCCATTTGGAAAATACGACAAACGAAAATAAATGGTATACTTGAAAAGTATTGGAATGTTCGGCAATCCTCTTTAGGGCATCGTCCCTGACAAGACGTGCCTCGGACCATTTGCTATCTTTGGAGCTACCAACACGGTAGAAATACCTTGGTGACCAGCAAATCAGCAAGGGAGGTTTGAAATGTTCCACTTGCATCCACTTGCCAGATCTTGCCGGGTTGCATGGTGCTTGGCTTCAAATTCAATATCTCAACGTGAGAATGGAAGCCTCACCAGATGCGTCATGCATTTGAAAGTCTTTCGGCGCCAAAGTTGTGGCATTTGCCATTGAGATCATGGTCTCATGGTCCTATCCGTCCTATCCCTTTGGTGTTCGCAGCCTAGACCCCCTGAGTTGGCATGCAATGATCATTCTGGCGGAAGTAACAGCAGCTTCACAGACCTTCCATAAACAATCTCACAGGCACCACGCCCTTGAGTCCAAATGTGGGTCAATCAGTCAATCTCCCCGCCTGCATTCCTCATGTAGTGCTTCACGTGACCTGTTGGGAACACGCACAGAAACGCTCCAGGAAGTGCACTGTGACAGCTCCACTATGCTCCGCTAGTCCGCTGCTTCGCGGGTCTACGTTAACCCAAGCGCACAGCAGACTGGTTTCCATCGGGCCCAAGATGCCGCCTGTAGCAGACTGGTCCAGTTGACTTGCTGAGAGGCCATATTGCACCTGAGTTGACAGAGGCAAACGTTCGATTTGGATAGACCACAACCACCAGTGACCTGGAACAAACAGAATCTACGGGAGATCCTGCTGTGGAAAGCATTAATATCATGAATATACGAATACCTGCAACTATTGCGACATATTGCAACAATATATTGCAACAATCAACTATCCGGTGTACCACCAGCAGCCAAGTCACAGTGCTATCCTTTGGCTCGTCCCTGAGAGGCTTCATCAATGCAGTGTGAAAATGTATCAAACACAGTCGGATCAGTCGGGCAGGGCGCCCAAGGCGTGCCTCGAAAACCAGGACACAGTCATGCCACTGGGATAGCCAGAAGCATCCTGCCCTGCAAAGGCCAAATGGATCCTTGGTCAGCGGATCTCACTGGATGGCAATTGCACACGCTTTCACATGTATTCTTGACAGTATGTTTGCAACTGCATGGGAGTTCGATTGCCTGCCTGAGCCGGAACCAGGACAAATGAACTACGTAAGTACGAGTACATGAGACCATCTCATGCATTATTCAGGACCATCCAAAACAGCCTGAGTGTCTGCTCCGGTTCCACATGAGCAGAAGCTGCCACGGAGCATAGAAAAAAGACTTGCCACGCCATGATGAGGGAAATATGAGGGAAGCACAAGGGAACCTCGTCTCCAAATCTAACAATCCTGCAAGGAAATTGCCTCTTTGCAGAAGGCGCAGCTGCGGCAAAATGACAAATTCATCGCACCGACTGTGGCCGTGGGGTTGACCAAGCCACCCTGTCACTCCGATTAGCAGATTGGCAGCACCAGAATGCACCAGAGAAGTAAAATGGTGTAAACACATCAGCATACGTCGAGCAGTCGAGCAGCTTCAGACAATTTTCTCACAGAATGGACTCACGTCATTGTTTATTTAGCAAACCCAAATAGTCCAGGATTGATGTTTGTTGGTGAGTCATTTGTGAGGCATGTGTCCAAGATTAGACATCTTTTGCCCGAATCGTATCAATGGGCTTCAGATTGCTGAAGAGCTGCCAACATCGCCCAACGACTGCAGGAATTATCTGAATATAGCAGCCTCGCTCCCCCTGCAATGTTTTATCCAATTCTCATAGACCGCATTCAGCACGCGCTAACTGCCGCTAGCTGGTAATTGGGACGGTTTGATGCAAATTACCAAGCACATCCAAGCACTTTGCTTTGCGACAGCAGTGCAGCTGGTTCTGCTGATTGGTGTTCATATGTTCCCAGATCCACGGTTTTGTCAAGCATTTCAGCTTGAACCCAGGACTTTGGAGGGCTGGCCAGCTTGCCGCCTGCTGATTTGGCTGCCACCAATTGGTAAACTCACCAAGCAAAGGCTGCTCCAAAGATAAGATCAAACCGCACTGTCTGTACCAAAGCATATCCAATGACTACAGAACAGGAGGCACAACTGCCCTCACTTTCTGTGAGATTCGCAAGGAAGTGCAATGCCTCAGACTCAGTTTCCTCTGCTCGTTCCAGCGAGACAGGAGGGCCTGGTCACCAACCGACATCCCTGGTGGCCACTGGTGGTCTGCCGCAATGCCGCACCTCCAACTGAGCCTCGACCCGAGCAAGTCTCATCTCTTGGGCCTGGCCGAAGAACTGAAATAGCTCCGGCTTTCACAAGATTTGATCCCCAGATCAGATACTGGGATTATTCCAGCAAAACCAAACAAGAAATGTCTATAGACTGCTGAGTTTCCTTACAAGGAATTGCAAGGGTGTGATGGATATGTATATAGAATATTAGTGATTTTTTTAGAATATTATAGAATTATATAAAATATGTAAATCATATAATGAATCATATATGATCCCAATTCCCAGGCTGGACTCAGCAAATCTCGGGGCCTTCTGGGCCAAGATCTTCCCTTCCAGATCTCGTTTACGACGAAGTCGGAACTCTTCCTCCGCAGAGCTCAGATATGCCCAGTGGCTGCCCAGTGGCTGCCCAGTGGCTGCCCAGTGGCTGCCCAGTGGCTGCCCAGTGGCTGCCCAGTGGGTCATGGTCATGGTGGATGGTCATGGTCGATCGGGATGCCATCTGCGAATTTGGGATTTTTATGGAGTTTTGGAGTCGCAACAACTTACGAATGTTAGAAATGAATGGTGTTGACTCTCAGGATGCCTATGTGGCGGCAGCTTCTTTATTTTTGACCAGTCCATACATGGTTGGTTGCCACAGGGAGCCAGTGGTATTCGGGAATGAGTCTCCGTCTGGAGGAATTGCTTTACAACATTTGCTGTTGGTTGTCTGACATATCTGCCTTTGCTCAGTACCTCTTTTGTTCCAGCACATGTTCTCACGCCAATCATACATGCCCGGAAGGGTTTTCACCATAGTTCTGGGAAATTGTCAATTTCGGAACAAACATGAACAAACACGAAGAAACATGAACAACTAGACAGCATGCTGACACGTTGCAATCCACAACACTCATTCAATCGATTCAGTCGTCGTCGTACCATCCTCCAACAGCTGGAGGCGCGAGATGGCACGAGGGCTGTGCTTGGTGGAGGCCAAATACGCCTGTGCAATGACTGGGATAACTGAGATGCTTTAAGTGTGGAAACACAAAACTCTGGTGCCTTCGCTTCATGAATCTATCCAAAATGAAGAACAAACTACAGTATGTTTCTTCACCATGTGTCAGGATATATTCAGTTTTGACCTATCCGCATTTGATATCATTTGACTACTTTGATGCTCACCATGGTGAGTTTGACCTCCTTTTTAGTGGGACAGGGTGCATTCCGTGCATCCTTTTCTGCACCGAAACGGAAACCAGGGAGTATCAAGGGATATCTCCCAAGGCTGTGTGATCCTGTGTGCAATCCTCTATAAATCAGTTTTTCTCAAGATGGATCCTCCATAAATCACTATCAAATTCTATAACTCATATTCCTCTATGATGGACGGATTTTCTCGCCTCCCTCAGCTGCTGCCAGGCCCTCTGCACCCCGGGCTCGGCCAAGTTCGCCCGGCCTCCACGGACTCCAATCATCTAATACCAGCGAGATGATCACCATCTACATCCATCTATCTACATGATACCATCTGTATACCATGTATCTTGATAAAATTATCGTGTATTGAATAAAATCTGTAATTATACCGTGAACATATATTAACATATATTATATTAATCGATACATCTTATACCGCTGTCCATCTGGCACCTCGCCGCGTGCGTTTCGCCAGCGAAGAAATGGCAGTGCGAGCTTCATGGAGACGCTGCCAGCTGCGAAGACCCAACTGGCGATGGATTTCAAAAATCAGTGTGTCCAACAATTTGGGATAAGGAGATGTGTAATGATGAAAATTCTGAATGTATGTGTGATTATATATACATATCATGAAACCAGCCATCTTTTGGGATATGGTTAAATATTTTGGGATATGATGGTATAACTACTATAAGAAAGAGTAAGAATATGATTTGTGTTTGATGAAAAATGGGGAATCTACCCCCACATGGCCAACCAAGCATGTGGATATACATATACATATATATATATAGTGAAATACTTATCTAGTTATCTGGTTATCGAGTGATCTAGTTATCTGATCTAGTGATCTAGTTATATAGTTACATATATATATCATATATAATGTATATAGTATAATATTGTCATATAGTTTGTTGCTGGCGCCGTGGCGCGCGGCCTGTGTGTGAAAGCTTTTGTTTTTGTCTTTTTTTGTCCTTGGTGGGGTGGGGTGGGGTGGGGTGGGGTAATAACGTTCATGGTACGCTTGCTGAGCGACGTCATGCTACATTGAGGTAGCGTTCTTGCACGCTTGCAGATCTACGCTGTGCTACGTTGTTGTAGCGTTCTTTAGCGTTCTTGCACACTTGCAGATCTACGCTGTGCTACGTTGATGTAACGTTCTTGCGCTCTTGCACAGCTACGCTGTGCTACGTTGTTGTAGCGTTCTTTAGCGTTCTTGCGCTCTTGCACAGCTACGTTGTGCTACGTTGATGTAACGTTCTTGCCCGCTTGCGGAACTACGTGGTGCTACGTTGATGTAGTGTTTTTAGCGTTCTTGCACGCTTGCATATCTACGCTGCGCTACGTTGATGTAACGTTCTTGCTAAACATGTATGTTAATGTAGACTGCCCGGTTACGATAGGACCATTAGCTTTATCTTGAACATCCTCATATGTATAACTTCGTTTATCTAGAATTCCCTTGCAGAATGATGATGATGATGATGATGATGCTGATGATGATGATGATGGTGATGATGATATTAAGATAAGATAAGATAAGATAAGATAATGTTGATCATGCCTGCGGCCCACAGGCCGCTGGCCACGGCGTGACCAGTTTGTTATATTATTATTATTATTATTACTATTATTATTATTATTATATATAATTATATATATATACTTTTATTTAATATATCATATCTCGGCCGTGCATGATGAACCTCTGATGTATGGTAAGATTGATTGTCATTTTCATCACGGAGCTATCCATATAAGTTTGGAACTATCATTGTGAGTCGGATTGGGGAAGCCCAGATCTGCAGCCCCATCCTCCAGATTGCGGAGGCGAAAAGGTGGCGAGGTCAATGCACAACAGCTCCATGGAATCCTCCCGGACACTGATGGAAGGACACCAAGAAGATCCAAAAAACGAAATCAAAAAGTGAAGTCCAAAACCAGAGGATGCTTGAAGCATTGGGTATATAGCTCAAGGTATAGCCATATAGCACGTTTCTTGAAAAATTGGAGTGTGCCAGCTCAGTCATGTGTATCGATTTCTTACATGGAATTCCAGTGGCTCCCTGATGCGGATCCTTTCCATGTCTTATGCGTGCGGGAAGATTCTGTCCAAGGAACCCTAAAGCTTTCAAAGGCAAAGTGGAGCTTGTTTCCATGCTGATCGTCTTCTCAAGTTTGGAATGACGAAGCAGGGGTCTAGGGATGTCTAGGGATGTCTAGGGATGTCTAGGGATGTCTAGGGATGTCTAGGGTATGTGCCATACCCATGCTGGTCTATGGTGATCCGTAAATGAAAGCGTTCGCACTGATTTTCTTGTTGCTCTGGTGCCCAATCACACCAGGGTTGCTGGTTTCTTTAATTATCTTTCCTCACAGTGCAAAATATGAGCTCTCCAGAGTTTCCTGCAGCATTAAAGGAGGTCCCAAAGTCTCATCGTATTTCGACTCCACTTAGAACATGTCGATTGCCTAAATTCTCGTTCCCAGCTGCTCAAACCGGACCCGCTCCTGATCTGAACCACCTGGGAACCCGTGAGGCTACTTGTACTCTCGATGAATCAAGAGAATACAGAGGCATGTGACGACAGGTGTCCTCCATCAGGTCTTGCCCTCCGTCACTGTCATAAATTCAAGCCTGCAATGGCCTCTGCAACTCCAAAATTACTAAAAGAAATATCAAAACACCAGTCCTGCACCACAAGCCGGAGGAGATAGCCCCTCTCGCCGCATGCAAGACATCTTCCAGAAAGGTATTGTAGTCGCTTCATGGAATCGGTTTTTAACCTGTTTGGTGCCCAATTGAACTAAAGCATCACCATACCAGGTTACCCGGCACCAGCTTTTGAGCTGATTGGGTTTCATTGTATGGGCACCACCATGCTCCACCATGCTCCACTCTTGTCTAGTCCAAGTCACGAAGCGTAGGCCAATCCTTTTGGCCTCGTCCGCCAGATCTGCCAAACTCTCCCGGATGGCCTGCCAAAAAACTGGAGAAATTTTGGATCTAAAATGTCTTCAGAAACACTACACACTACACTGCGACATACTGAAACCGACAAGCTGTTCTTTTTTGCATCACGGGCCAGCACATACATCTTTCGGTCTCAGAGACCTTTGCTCTGTGGCCCACTAAAGTGCTGTCACTGTCAGTTCAGTACATCGAGGAGTATCCGGAATCGTAATTATCCAACTCCTCACAAACGGACTTTTGCGATACACAACAGGCATGTCCGACCCAGTCCACCTGGTACTTGATGTCACCCCAGGCTCCCTCCACTCCTGCACAGGTCCCCTTGTCGAGTGCTTCCTTCACACCTTTGTGAGCACCGGGATACCAGTTCTTAACCTCCTCCTGACATGTCATGCCCCAGAAGTGGCCTCCCAATAGCTCGCAAGCGCATTTGCTGTGGCATTGACACCAGCCATGTTCCTCTTTGCAGCCAGGAACGGCCTCACACTGCTCCTTCGAGGGGCTGACTTCAGACGTGTCACAATAGGCATATGCATAGGCATCTGGGAGAAAAGCTGCTTGATTCTTGCACGGATTCATGGGCTGCACGTTGTGCTCGCACATGCTGGAGGGAGCGTCGGTGCAGCACTGCGTTGCAGGCCATGCCACCATATCCTGCAAGATGCTATCACGGTCCATCACGGTCTATCACGTCTCTGCATGGAAGATCCCATCTGAATCCATCTGATCTTCTGTTTCATGTGTTGTTTTGTTTAGTTGTGCGGGATTTTGAAAAGGTGCTGAAAGCATAGTAAACACGTTCCTGGCTCAACAAGGAGAAAATGATTCACAAGGCTCCACTGTGAACTATGACTATGGTCATCCATGGTCTATCAAGTCTATTTGTCATTCTCTGTCTATGTTTCTTCCATTTTTTGTTTGTCAACCAGAGGACACGCGACATCTCTCCACAGTCCTTGACCTTGTATCCATGCACATCAAAGCCTTCACAAGTACCGGCCCTCTTGGCTTCTTCTATCTTCTCAATGTAGGTCGCTGGCAAGTCCTCCAGCGACTTTTTACACGTGTATGGGTTCCTCAGTTGAATCGGGAAAGCTCGAAACAGAACCAGTGGATTCCTTTACATTCAAACTCGAACGAGGCATGCCCTAGTGATATACTCGGGAGATAGGCAGATAGGCTTTCGGAAGCAACCCAAGTGATTGTATCATAGGCGAGAACCAGGCATCAGAAGTAACAAGAAATTGGGTAAAAGAACTGATCAGGTTTGGCTCATAATTTCTGCAATAGCAGATTGTCTTCGTGACTGTCGAGTTCAAAAATCACTCACCTAACACAAGGCAGCCAACTACAGGTAGATACAGATAGTCACCTGCCTTGACATGCCTTGATGCATCTTGATATTGTGCCACCAAGTTTGGCTCCAACAGAAAGCCCGGCTATCCCTAGCTCAAAATGCTCCAAGATACCAAGTGCCACCGACTGCATCGCAACCCTCCTTCTTGTCACAGTAGCAGTATCCATAAGAATACCTGCACCCATCGCCAGTATCGCAGGTTGCTGCATCAGGCTGAACTGGCATGGAGTACATGTCACACCAGCCGGCAATGTCCTTTTCAGGAGTCCAGGCACTTGGGTCTTGGCACGGGGTTAGCACCGCACCGCCGTAGAGGCTTTCACCCTTGCTCTGCCCACCAGCACGGCGCTGTTCGAAACTGAAGTGTGGCTGGCTCATGCGCTGATGGGGATGTCGGCCCATCCGAAGTCCCGTGCGCCCCATCTGCGTCTGCGACACGTGGCGACCCATTGGCCCTGGCCCAAACAGCTGTGCGGGGCTGAAGACGTGTGGTCCTACTGCAGTCTTGGAGTTGCGCTGGACTGAGCTTTGCAACAGAGCTGCTGACTGGGCAGGAGGAGACTGGCCGCAAGTGGCACACGTCTCATCCTCACCCCGGACTGCTGAGATACAAAGAAAGACTGAGAGCAACGTCCACATGGCAGCCATGGCAGACGCAGCTGTAGCGGTTTTTGAAACGGGCAAAATGAGATTTTGGGCTTTGAACGCTCCTGCAGATTGAAAATTAAAATACGTATGATTAGCGACATATCACCTGCAGCTGGCAAAGCACCTGAATCAGTTGCGGGTGCAGAAGAGAGACATCAACATGCCCGAAGTCCATTCAAAATCCAAGTCTGCAACCCTGTTTACCCCCCTCCCTCCACTGAGAGTTGGCTGCCAGCTTGCTACAGTGCTTTGACATGCTCTGACTATCTGATCTATCTGGAACGCCAGCCTCTCGCACTTTTTCCTCAAAGGTCAATGTGAACTCTGGCAATTGCAAATATTGAAAAGCGTCACGGCCAGACACTATTGGTCAGCAGACTTAGGGAACTGTTGCTGTCAGTTCAGTACATCCCAGTACTGGAGTATCCGGAGTCGTAATGATCCAACTCCTCACAGACGGACTTTTTCGAGGCACAGCAGAGATGTCCGATCCAGTCCACCTGGTACTTGATGTCACCCCAGGCTCCCTCCACTCCTGCACAGGTCCCCTTGTCGAGTGCTTCCTTCACACCTTTGTGATCACCAGGATTCCACCACTTCATCTCATCCTTGCAAGTGCCACCCTGGAAATAGCCCCCCAAGAGTTCGCAAGATGCCTTGCTTTGGCAGTTGCACCAGCCCCATTCCTCTTTGCAGTCTGGGGTTGCGTCACATGTTTCCTTGGGAGGGTTGGTAGCTGACAGGTCGCAGTAGGCCCAGGCATAGGCATCAGGCAGAAACTCTGCTTCGCTCTTGCAAGGAGTCATGGGCTGCACGTTGTGCTCGCACATGGTGGAAGGGTAGTCGGTGCAGCACATCATTGCAGGGTATGCAACCATGTCCTTGAATGATGACTCACTCGACACATTTTGACACCACAATACACATCCATACACTTGTCCTAGGTCTCTGCCTTGTGCTATCTAAAACTAAAACATACTAAACTACCAGTATCTGCAACCGTTTGTTAAAAGCATTTAAAAACATCTGAAGTCGGAAGACGGCAAAGTTGTGCTTCCTCTCCCCTTCTCCGAATTATGATCACAATACGTTTTCACAACACTTTGTGAAAAGACTCTGATACAACAGGCTATTGCAACACCCTTGCGGAGCATCCTCGTGTAAGAATGTGTAAGACGTGTGTAAAGAACAGTCTGGTAGAACGATGTAGAACAATTCTTGAGAACAAAATGGCTCGCTTTCAACACGCTGCCCAACGGTGCATCTGTGCGGACAGCGGCAGACAGATACAGTCCGTTGCGAACGTACCACGGCAAGCACAGGTCCACCCCCATGATGGAAACTCTTCGCTACACTATCAGGAAAAGAAATGAACAGAAATTGTCCACAAACGATTGTGTCATCCCAATGTCCGTGCAGTAACGTGCGTGATAGGACAAATCGAACACTTCTGGACGACTCTACAAGAGACGCTATAGCCTCTGCGTATATTGGCGAGTCTGCAGCTAAACGGACAAGCATGACAAGCTGGGGAATCTGGCAGTCCTTGACCCCGTAGCCATAATGATCTTTGCCTTCACAAGTGCCAGCAGCTGCTGCTTCGCGGATCTTCTCCAAGTAGTCTGGAAACATGTTTTCCATTTCTTCCCTGCATGTATATCCATTCCTCAGAAGAGTCCCACAAGTGTCTGGCAAATCATGTTGAAACACACAAACATGATCAAACAATCAAACATGTGTCTCTTGCAAGCTCTGCCCACACAATGCACTTATCAGGATTTGCTTTTCACTCATAATTTCTGCAACAGCAGATTGTCTTCGTGACTGTCGAGTTCAAAAATCACTCGCCGAACACAAGGCAGCCAACTACAGGTAGGTACAGATAGTCACCTGCCTTGACATGCCTTGATGCATCTTGATATTGTGCAAGCAAGTTTGGTTCCAACAGAAAGCCCGGCTATCCCCAGCTCAAAATGCTCCAAGATACCAAGTGCCACCGACTGCATTGCAACCCTCCTTCTTGTCACAGTAGCAGTATCCATAAGAATACCTGCACCCATCGCCAGCATCGCAGGTTGCTGCATCAGGCTGAACTGGCATGGAGTACATGTCACACCAGCCATAGACATCCTTTTCAGGAGTCCAGGCACTTGGATCTTGGCACGGGGTTAGCACCGCACCGCCGTAGAGGCTTTCACCCTTGCTCTGCCCACCAGCACGGCGCTGTTCGAAACTGAAGTGTGGCTGGCTCATGCGCTGATGGGGATGTGGGCCCATCCGAGGTCCCATGCGCCCCATCTGCGTCTGCGACACGTGGCGACCCATTGGCCCTGGCCCAAACAGCTGTGCGGGGCTGAAGACGTGTGGTCCTACTGCAGTCTTGGAGTTGCGCTGGACTGAGCTTTGCAACAGAGCTGCTGACTGGGCAGGAGGAGACTGGCCGCAAGTGGCACACGTCTCATCCTCACCCTGGACTGTTGAGATACAAAGAAAGACTGAGAGCAACGTCCACATGGCAGCCATGGCAGACGCAGCTGTAGCGGTTTTTGAAACGGGCAAAATGAGATTTTGGGCTTTGAATGCTCCTGCAGATTGAAAATTAAATACGTATGATGAGCGACATATCACCTGCAGCTGGCAAAGCACCTGAATCAGTTGCGGGTGCAGAAGAGAGATATCAACATGCCCGAAGTCCATTCAAAATCCAAGTCTGCAACCCTGTTTACACCCCTCCCTGCACTGAGAGTTGGCTGCCAGCTTTCTACAGTGCTTTGACATGCTCTGACTATCTGATCTATCTGGAACGCCAGCCTCTCGCACTTTTTCCTCAAAGGTCAATGTGAACTCTGGCAATTGCAAATATTGAAAAGCGTCACGGCCAGACACTATTGGTCAGCAGACTTAGGGAACTGTTGCTGTCAGTTCAGTACATCCCAGTACTGGAGTATCCGGAGTCGTAATGATCCAACTCCTCACAGACGGACTTTTTCGAGGCACAGCAGAGATGTCCGATCCAGTCCACCTGGTACTTGATGTCACCCCAGGCTCCCTCCACTCCTGCACAGGTCCCCTTGTCGAGTGCTTCCTTCACACCTTTGTGATCACCAGGATTCCACCACTTCATCTCATCCTTGCAAGTGCCACCCTGGAAATAGCCCCCCAAGAGTTCGCAAGATGCCTTGCTTTGGCAGTTGCACCAGCCCCATTCCTCTTTGCAGTCTGGGGTTGCGTCACACGTTTCCTTGGGAGGGTTGGTAGCTGACAGGTCGCAGTAGGCCCAGGCATAGGCATCAGGCAGAAACTCTGCTTCGCTCTTGCAAGGAGTCATGGGCTGCACGTTGTGCTCGCACATGGTGGAAGGGTAGTCGGTGCAGCACATCATTGCAGGGTACGCAACCATGTCCTTGAATGATGACTCACTCGACACATTTTGACACCACAATACACATCCATACACTTGTCCTAGGTCTCTGCCTTGTGCTATCTAAAACTAAAACATACTAAACTACCAGTATCTGCAACCGTTTGTTAAAAACATTTAAAAACATCTGAAATCGGAAGATGGCAAAGTTGTGCTTCCTCTCCCCTTCTCCGAATTATGATCACAATACGTTTTCACAACACTTTGTGAAAAGACTCTGATACAACAGGCTATTGCAACACCCTTGCGGAGCATCCTCGTGTAAGAATGTGTAAGACGTGTGTAAAGAACAGTCTGGTAGAACGATGTAGAACAATTCTTGAGAACAAAATGGCTCGCTTTCAACACGCTGCCCAACGGTGCATCTGTGCGGACAGCGGCAGACAGATACAGTCCGTTGCGAACGTACCACGGCAAGCACAGGTCCACCCCCATGATGGAAACTCTTCGCTACACTATCAGGAAGAGAAATGAACAGAAATTGTCCACAAACGATTGTGTCATCCCAATGTCCGTGCAGTAACGTGCGTGATAGGACAAATCGAACACTTCTGGACGACTCTACAAGAGACGCTATAGCCTCTGCGTATATTGGCGAGTCTGCAGCTAAACGGACAAGCATGACAAGCTGGGGAATCTGGCAGTCCTTGACCCCGTAGCCATAATGATCTTTGCCTTCACAAGTGCCAGCAGCTGCTGCTTCGCGGATCTTCTCCAAGTAGTCTGGAAACATGTTTTCCATTTCTTCCCTGCATGTATATCCATTCCTCAGAAGAGTCCCACAAGTGTCTGGCAAATCATGTTGAAACACACAAACATGATCAAACAATCAAACATGTGTCTCTTGCAAGCTCTGCCCACACAATGCACTTATCAGGATTTGCTTTTCACTCATAATTTCTGCAACAGCAGATTGTCTTCGTGACTGTCGAGTTCAAAAATCACTCGCCGAACACAAGGCAGCCAACTACAGGTAGGTACAGATAGTCACCTGCCTTGACATGCCTTGATGCATCTTGATATTGTGCAAGCAAGTTTGGTTCCAACAGAAAGCCCGGCTATCCCCAGCTCAAAATGCTCCAAGATACCAAGTGCCACCGACTGCATTGCAACCCTCCTTCTTGTCACAGTAGCAGTATCCATAAGAATACCTGCACCCATCGCCAGCATCGCAGGTTGCTGCATCAGGCTGAACTGGCATGGAGTACATGTCACACCAGCCATAGACATCCTTTTCAGGAGTCCAGGCACTTGGGTCTTGGCACGGGGTTAGCACCGCACCGCCGTAGAGGCTTTCACCCTTGCTCTGCCCACCAGCACGGCGCTGTTCGAAACTGAAGTGTGGCTGGCTCATGCGCTGATGGGGATGTGGGCCCATCCGAGGTCCCATGCGCCCCATCTGCGTCTGCGACACGTGGCGACCCATTGGCCCTGGCCCAAACAGCTGTGCGGGGCTGAAGACGTGTGGTCCTACTGCAGTCTTGGAGTTGCGCTGGACTGAGCTTTGCAACAGAGCTGCTGACTGGGCAGGAGGAGACTGGCCGCAAGTGGCACACGTCTCATCCTCACCCCGGACTGTTGAGATACAAAGAAAGACTGAGAGCAACGTCCACATGGCAGCCATGGCAGACGCAGCTGTAGCGGTTTTTGAAACGGGCAAAATGAGATTTTGGGCTTTGAATGCTCCTGCAGATTGAAAATTAAATACGTATGATGAGCGACATATCACCTGCAGCTGGCAAAGCACCTGAATCAGTTGCGGGTGCAGAAGAGAGATATCAACATGCCCGAAGTCCATTCAAAATCCAAGTCTGCAACCCTGTTTACACCCCTCCCTGCACTGAGAGTTGGCTGCCAGCTTTCTACAGTGCTTTGACATGCTCTGACTATCTGATCTATCTGGAACGCCAGCCTCTCGCACTTTTTCCTCAAAGGTCAATGTGAACTCTGGCAATTGCAAATATTGAAAAGCGTCACGGCCAGACACTATTGGTCAGCAGACTCAGGGAACTGTTGCTGTCAGTTCAGTACATCCCAGTACTGGAGTATCCGGAGTCGTAATGATCCAACTCCTCACAGACGGACTTTTTCGAGGCACAGCAGAGATGTCCGATCCAGTCCACCTGGTACTTGATGTCACCCCAGGCTCCCTCCACTCCTGCACAGGTCCCCTTGTCGAGTGCTTCCTTCACACCTTTGTGATCACCAGGATTCCACCACTTCATCTCATCCTTGCAAGTGCCACCCTGGAAATAGCCCCCCAAGAGTTCGCAAGATGCCTTGCTTTGGCAGTTGCACCAGCCCCATTCCTCTTTGCAGTCTGGGGTTGCGTCACACGTTTCCTTGGGAGGGTTGGTAGCTGACAGGTCGCAGTAGGCCCAGGCATAGGCATCAGGCAGAAACTCTGCTTCGCTCTTGCAAGGAGTCATGGGCTGCACGTTGTGCTCGCACATGGTGGAAGGGTAGTCGGTGCAGCACATCATTGCAGGGTACGCAACCATGTCCTTCAATGATGACTCACTCGACACATTTTGACACCACAATACACATCCATGCACTTGTCCTAGGTCTCTGCCTTGTGCTATCTAAAACTAAAACATACTAAACTACCAGTATCTGCAACCGTTTGTTAAAAACTTTAAAAACATCTGAAATCGGAAGATGGCAAAGTTGTGCTTCCTCTCCCCTTCTCCGAATTATGATCACAATACGTTTTCACAACACTTTGTGAAAAGACTCTGATACAACAGGCTATTGCAACACTTTTGCGGAGCATCCTCGTGTAAGAATGTGTAAGACGTGTGTAAAGAACAGTCTGGTAGAACGATGTAGAACAATTCTTGAGAACAAAATGGCTCGCTTTCAACACTGCCCAACGGTGCATCTGTACCACGGCAAGCAGCAAGCACAGGCCCACCCCCATGATGGAAACTCTTCGCTACACTATCAGGAAGAGAAATGAACAGAAATTGTCCACAAACGATTGTGTCATCCCAATGTCCGTACAGTAACGTGCGTGATAGGACAAATCGAACACTTCTGGACGACTCTACAAGAGACGCTATAGCCTCTGCGTATATTGGCGAGTCTGCAGCTAAACGGACAAGCATGACAAGCTGGGGAATCTGGCAGTCCTTGACCCCGTAGCCATAATGATCTTTGCCTTCACAAGTGCCAGCAGCTGCTGCTTCGCGGATCTTCTCCAAGTAGTCTGGAAACATGTTTTCCATTTCTTCCCTGCATGTATATCCATTCCTCAGAAGAGTCCCACAAGTCTCTGGCAAATCATGTTGATACACACAAACATGATCAAACAATCAAACATGTGTCTCTTGCAAGCTCTGCCCACACAATGCACTTATCAGGATTTACTTTTTACTTTTTGCTCATAATTTCTGCAGCAGCAGATTGTCTTCGTGACTGTCGAGTTCAAAAATCACTCACCGAACACAAGGCAGCCAACTACAGGTAGATACAGATAGTCACCTGCCTTGACATGCCTTGATGCATCTTGATATTGTGCCACCAAGTTTGGCTCCAACAGAAAGCCCGGCTATCCCTAGCTCAAAATGCTCCAAGATACCAAGTGCCACCGACTGCATTGCAACCCTCCTTCTTGTCACAGTAGCAGTATCCATAAGAATACCTGCACCCATCGCCAGCATCGCAGGTTGCTGCATCAGGCTGAACTGGCATGGAGTACATGTCACACCAGCCATAGACATCCTTTTCAGGAGTCCAGGCACTTGGGTCTTGGCACGGGGTTAGCACCGCACCGCCGTAGAGGCTTTCACCCTTGCTCTGCCCACCAGCACGGCGCTGTTCGAAACTGAAGTGTGGCTGGCTCATGCGCTGATGGGGATGTGGGCCCATCCGAGGTCCCATGCGCCCCATCTGCGTCTGCGACACGTGGCGACCCATTGGCCCTGGCCCAAACAGCTGTGCGGGGCTGAAGACGTGTGGTCCTGCTGCAGTCTTGGAGTTGCGCTGGACTGAGCTTTGCAACAGAGCTGCTGAGTGGGCAGGAGGAGACTGGCCGCAAGTGGCACACGTCTCATCCTCACCCCGGACTGTTGAGATACAAAGAAAGACTGAGAGCAACGTCCACATGGCAGCCATGGCAGACGCAGCTGCAGCGGTTTTTGAAAGGGCAAAATGAGATTTTGGGCTTTGAATGCTCCTGCTGGCAGCCACTTGAAAATGTAACTAGAAAGAACTAGAAAGCACTAGAAGGCTCTAGAAAATAGGAAATGGCCGGAAAGCTCCAGTGAACTTTTTTCTGTCGCTATCGCCCCTTTCTTCCGCAACATCAATCGGCTCGTGGCTAGACACTATTGGTCTGCGGCAGCTCAAGGCAAACTGTCAGCTAGCTTAGTCAACTTAGTACATGCTGGAATATCCAGCATCATAATTGTCTAGCTCCTCACAAACAGACTTTTGAGAGCCGCAGCAGGCAAATCCCATCATGTCCACGCTGTACTTGATGTCGCCCCAGGGTCCCTCCACTCCTTGGCAGGTCTGCTTGTCAAGTGCTTCTTTCACAGCCTCGTGAACACCAGGATACCAGTACCCCAGTTCTTCCTGGCAAGTAGTGCCCATGAAGTAACCTCCCAAAAGCTCGCAAGATGCTTTGGTTTTGCAGGTGCAATAGCCCCACTCGTCCTTGCAGTCTGGGGTTGCATCACACATCTCCTTGGACGGGGGCGAAGACCATAGGTCACAATAGGCATATGCGTAGGCATCCGCTTTAAAGTCTGTTTGCTCCTTGCATGGATTCATGGGCTGCACGTTGTGGTCGCACAGCGTCGAAGGATAGTCAGTGCAGCACTTGGATGCAGGCCACGCCACCAAGTCCTTCGCATCCCATGAAAGTACTAAGTCGATCTAAATCGATCTAAGTCGATCTAAGTCGATCTAAGTCGACTATTTGGCAGATCGGATTTATTTGGAAATGGTGGTAAATTTCCCTACATGTTCCATCTCAAAACATTCTTTGCTTGCGACCAAAAAGTCACCTTGCACATATTGAACTGTGCTGAAAAATGAGATGGGACTGAGCAGGCCCCAGCAAGACGAACACCTCACCTGCAAAGAATATATGGGTCTCATTTCCTGAGGACCAAAGTATACCAAAGTTGTACCTTGGCAAGAAGTTGTTTAGGAGTGTCGAACTGTTTGCAGCTGATCTTTATCTTTGTCGCAATGCGCCCACCAGCGACTTTTCATTTATAACCAGATAGCTTGTCAAAGTATGACTATTGCCTATACAACCATACACTGTGTGGCAGTCCTCCACTTTCATGCCCCAAACCTCTTTGTTTTCGCAAGTACCGGCATTCTTCGCTTCCAAGATCTTCTCAAGATACTCCGGCATCATCTGCTCCATCTCTTGTCTGCAAGTCCATGGATTCCTCAGCACAGAGCTCGAAAATCAGGAGTGGTTCCTTAAGTGTTTGCTTACATTTGCTGAGCTGCAACTGTAAAATTAATGGGACCTGTACCGTGCTGAATGCTTACACCCCAAGGGACACTCCTTGGCATCTACATGAGATGAATCTTGCCAAAGTCTTGTAGGCAAGAGTTTGGCACTGACATCTTTGCATCAAAATTAACCATACTGAAGCTTTGACCAAGATTCCAAATGCCACCAACTGCGTTGCAACCCTCACTCTTTTCGCAATAGCAGTATCCATAATTATATCTACACCCTTCACCAGCTGCATTGCAAGTTGCTTCATCGGGCTGAACTGGTGCGGTGTACATGTCGCACCAGCCGTAGATGTCATTGTCAGGAGTCCAGGCATGTGGATCTTGGCACGGGGTTAGCTCGGCACCGCCGTAGAGGCTTTCACCCTTGCTCTGCCCACCAGCACGGCGCTGTTCGAAACTGAAGTGTGGCTGGCTCATGCGCTGATGGGGATGTGGGCCCATCCGAGGCCCCATGCGCCCCATCTGCGTCTGCGACACGTGGCGACCCATTGGCCCTGGCCCAAACAGCTGTGCGGGGCTGAAGACGTGTGGTCCTACTGCGGTCTTGGAGTTGCGCTGGACTGAGCTTTGCAACAGAGCTGCTGACTGGGCAGGAGGAGACTGGCCGCAAGTGGCACACGTCTCATCCTCACCCCGGACTGTTGAGATACAAAGAAAGACTGAGAGCAACGTCCACATGGCAGCCATGGCAGACGCAGCTGTAGCGGTTTTGGAATCGGGCAAAATGAGATTTTGGGCTTTGAATGCTCCTGCAGATTGAAACTAAATACGTATGATGAACTACATATCACCTGCAGCTGGCAAAGCACCTGAATCAGTTGCGGGTGCAGAAAAGAGACATCAATCCCGAAGTCCATTCAAAATCCAAGTCTGCAAGCCTGTTTAACCGCACTGAGAGTTGGCTTTCTACAGTGCTTTGACTCGTAATACCATGTCGCTGTCAAATCGTTTCGCCTGGCCCATGCACTCGTCATGCACCACGGCACTGCGGCACGTTTCACGAACCCGCCGCAGCAGCAACTCGTGGCTTTGTGCGACCTGCAGCGGCACATACTGTCCTCTGAGACCTCTGGATAAGTGTAGATGAGTGTAGAATAGTGTAGAAATCTCAAAAGAAACGACATACCTGCTAGATCATATACAGTAGATCTTGATTGTTGGGCAGTGAAGTGTGTGGAAATTCGAGAAAACTACTGACAGATGGATAAGAAGGCAAGTTTCTCATTGGATTCATAACTTTCCAATCGCGAGATCCAATTTTACAAATCAAGTGTCTGATGGAAGCAACATGCCAGCCAAGATAACTGGGAACTCGTTGATTCAGCATTAGTGGTGTGAAGTGAGCACTGCACTTTTCACCGGTGGACTGTCAAGACCAAGTTACTGAAACCTAGAAAAAGGTGCTCAGTATACATAGATGTGTATATATATAATATATATATATATTATATAATATTTGCATCGCACAAGCCGCAGCTGCAGCTGAGTGCAGAATCCAACTGTTAGCTATCTGCTTCGCAGAATGAAACTGAATTTGTGAACTTTGCAGCACCCTGATTTTTTGTCTAAATCACGGAATAGGAGGGAAAAATCAAATTATCAAAAGGAGGGAGGAAGAGAAGCAAAAAGGAGCAAAAGGGTGTAGACATCTATTATTTCTGAGGCTGGGCCGGGAATATGCCCGCGTTCGATGACGAAATTTTCGGTGACGAAGTTTTCGGTGATGAAACTTTCGGTGAAGAGGTGTGGGATAGAGTGTCAG